GTATTCCAGAAGGTCAAGATGAGATATCTCGAGAGCACGCTCTTCCTCAGGAAACGAACATCGATATTATGAAAGGAATCGATTTCCACAAAGGCTGCTATGTTGGTCAGGAACTTACCATCCGCACTAGACATCGTGGTGTAGTTCGCAAACGAATTCTGCCCTGTGTAGTCTACGAAAAAGAGCATGCACCGCCGACAACACTTCAGTATCACTCAGACGACATAACGTCTTCTCTCGAGAGTGTGACCGCAGACATGATACCACGAGACACAAGCATCGGACGATTTGAGAAAAGAGGTCGAAGCGCCGGCAAGTGGCTTAAGGGTGTGGGAAACATTGGGCTCGGGCTGTGCCGCCTGGAGATCATGACTGATGTGACACTGCCGGGAGATGCGGCGTTGGGGGCTTTCAACCCCGAGGACGAGTTTGTCCTAGATTGGGGCGAGGAGGAAAGCCGCAATAGAGTAAAGGTCAAGGCTTTCGTGCCCGAGTGGTTGAGAGATGGCCTCGATGCTGAGAATCAGAGAAACGAAAAGTAGAACAGTAAGAATGAAGTTGTGCTGTAAAACACTGTATAAATACAATACTTGCATGTCTTGAATAGGGACATATCTGGATATTCATTAAGTTTCTTTCTCAATCATCGCCAAACTTTACTTTGTTATTGACACAGAACCATTATCAGTGATTACACCGTACCATGAAAAGACGGATCATTACAGTATCATATTATTGCAGTTGTACGGCGGAATAATCAGATTATGCGATCCTCCTGACTGCAATTTCTGGATAAGGCCACAGCCGAAACAATCCATTAGAATGTATTCTATGATATATTGGTCCTAGTAGGATGTTGAAGCCTTGTCCCCTATATATGTAAGGGAGTTAAAAGAGATGTTGTGACGCATGGAAAAAGCTCACACTGCCACTAGTCATGAGTCCTTGAATGATTCATCGCCTTCAAGTCTACAGGTCTTCTTTCAAGGTGTTGTGGCTGCGCACAGACTTCTAGTTGAAGCAAAAACTGAACGAACGTATCTAAGAATGCTGACCAACAAGACCAAGACTTGAGGTTATGTTAGCCAGAGAGAAGGCTGACATGGGCTAGTCTGACGTAGACTCATGGACAGGATGATCGTGAAGTTGATCACTGAAATACGTAGCAAATTACTCCGTAGCCCTGAACTTCTGAAGCATTGGGTGGGTCGGTATCTTGTTGGACAAGGGGTTCGTTCAAGTCGCGGTGTTTGCCCCCTTTAGCAGGTAACCAGGCAGTGGGCAGTAAGCAACAGCTTGCATTGCTGCGGACCCCAACTGTGTGCCATGACTATCTCCTGTACAACAAGGGCCGGGTTGCAAGAGCCCATTCGCGGACTTTGATTAGTCTTGGGAATTGAATTAAACCAGTGACATCGAATTAGGTACTTTTGCTGCGACCTTGGCTTACATACGGACTGCAGGAAGGTTGAAATTAACTCTTGGATCGTCGTCTGACTGTACCTCCGTACACTACCTATAATCTCGCGAGCCTCAGCCCTGTGGTTGAGACCGGGGATGGTCTTGGCCTGTCGCTTAATTTATCTCATGGATGGTAAAGCTCTCAGGAGCCGACATTTGACGGCTCGGTGATGCATTTGCCAGTCTTCAGCCTTCTTCATTGTTTTCTGCCGTTCTGGCCTTATTTCATGGTCGAAGCTGCCGCACTGAACTTCTGCATCGTAAACATCGGTTAACGATACCTTCTCTCATTATTTTCTTGGCGTCTAAAACACAGGGTCCCACGGCGTTTGTATCTCTACGATGGTGACTGAGACTACCCCCAAGACCATCAAGCGGTTAATCGCTTGTTGCGATGGCACCTGGATGGATAGTGACAATGGCTACGAAGAACCCGGCTTGCTAAGAAAAGAAGGTTCTCTTCAGATACCTTCCAACGTTACTCGAATATCCCGTTGCTTTGAGAAGAGGTGCAGCGATGGCAAGCTTCAAGTGGTCAACTATGAGTCAGGCGTTGGTACAGGCAGCAACGTACTCGACAGCATTACTGGCGGTGCTTTTGGTATGGGACTCGCAGAGGTGAGGGTGTCGGAGCATAAAGATGAAGGATGTTGGCTAACCATTTCTTCTAGCGTATGCGGGAAACATATTCGTTTTTATGTTCCAATTATATGGATGGCGATGAGATAATACTCGTTGGTTTCTCTCGAGGTGCTTTCACAGTCCGTTCTGTGGCAGGCATGATTGGCAATCTAGGCCTACTCACGCGTGAGGGTGTTGAGTTCTTCTACCCTATCTTCAAAGATATGCAGCATTGGATGGACGATGATTATGAAGATCCATTCCCCAACATTCCATTCCCTAACAAACCCAAAGGGAAGGACGCCGCAGAAGTTTACAGGGCTCGCTTGGAGCAACTCGGTTACACTCGTGTGAGGCGGAGTGAAGGAGAAGGCGACATCATCACCATCAAAGCAGTGGGCGTCTGGGATACCGTGGGTAGCCTCGGGATCCCCAGAGTCTTGTGGCTGGAGAAACTGGGAATTCGTGCCGACAATGATGAATAAGTCTCACCTTCAAATCTTCAATAACTCGGGTTGCTGACCAGCTTCTTACGTTTAAGTGGCATGACACAAATCTGTCAGATAGAATCGAACATGCGTTCCAGGCCCTCGCCCTGGATGAAACAAGGCCCCCCTTCACACCAGCAGTATGGGAGAGGCTCCCGGAGAACAAATACACGACGGATCTCAGGCAGGTATGGTTTCCTGGGAATCATGGTAACTGCGGTGGCGGGTGGGAAGACCAGGGCATGTCAAACATCACACTTGCATGTGAGGATTCCAAACAGCTTATGCACAACAACCTTGTACTTAGAGACTGACTTCGAAATAGGGATGATGGACCAACTGGCTTCAATTGGGATTGAGTTCGACCTCCCTGCACTAGAACGATGCTTCTTCCAGAACTTCAAATTCTATCACAAAACTCCGTCAAAACTCAGCATAAAGTCGAGGAAGAGGAGAGAGAAAACAAAGAAACGCCAGTGGGCGATAAACCCAATCTACGAGAATAACCGCCCATTTAGACCTTGGGGGCTTGGGACAATAAGCAAAGCTCCAGGACTCCTCTACAAACTCTCTGGCCAGACAGTTCGTACACCAGGTCTGTATAGGCCAACTGACCGCCAATCGAAATGCGATAGGTCAAGATACCTTCTTGATACAAACGAGCGAATACACAGCTCCGTACGAGTCAGGCTTGTCTGCAAAGGCCTCGGCTTGAATGATGACCACGTCTGGGACTGCCGAGCTTTGCTCAGTAACTGGAAACTCAAACGAACGCGTGAGAAATATACTGATCCAGTTCCATTCCAGCCTGGTTGGTGTCCGAACCGTGGAAAAGATCATATGGGCCATCCTAACGATTGGTCGGAGGGGCGATGGGTTTGGGAATACGTCGGTAACGAGAATGATGGCCCCAAAGAAGCAAGACAACGGATAATGGTTGAAGAGCCTTTGGGACCCTATGAGCGATACTTACTCAGCTTATCAGCAGGATCACCGAATGTGTATCATTTTGCGGATACGATAAACAGTTGAAGTCTCTGGCTTGATTGCTGGGTAGGAGGCGGCAGAAGTCTTCTGACTACAGCCCGAAGGGATAAAAGACTTAGATAACATTACATTACTATATGATATCTAATGATGAGTTTAACATACTATGTGAAGACACTGTCTTCTCACCTTTCTAAAGACTGTATTAAGTCTTCCGGCATTTATGATGAGTACATGTTTCGGGCCATGCGAGGCGTCAACGCCTCGCATTTGGGAAGTCCATCATAATAAATGAATCGTTTGAGACATGAGATTTTTTAACCATCTTATTAGTTAATAGTCTCTTATCAAATTCGGAGTACAGTTCCATCACAAAGGCTTGATCGCTCTAAGGTCACGTGCTTTCGTGATTCTTCAACCAAGCCTTGGCTACTGTCTAAAAGCTTCTGCCTTTCTCCACACTCGAACAGTTATTTACGAGTAACATATGATTCAGGAGACCCCAATATGTCTGACACAAAAGCCGCCGATTTGCTGCAATTCGCTCAAGAATATGCCTCCAAAGATGTAGATCTCTATGAACTCCTTGGCATCGATGCCCTCACACCTAAGGAAGACATCCATCGCGCGTGGCGCAAGCGATCTCTGAAATACCATCCCGACAAAGCAGGCGACAATTTTGATGCGGAAAAATGGCAGCTTTTCGAACGCGCCCGCGACATCCTATCCGAACCAGGCGCGCGCGGCGCTTACGACGGCGCCATCAAGGCTGCCCTGCTACGAAAACAAGAGCGTGAGACCATGGACAAGCAGCGTAAGGCTTTTGTTGACGACCTCGAGGCGCGAGAGAATGCTTGGAAGGTACAGAGAGCGGAAAAGGAGCAGCGGGAGAAACAAGAGATCGAGAAGGAGAGGTCACGATTGGTTGAACAGAGGCGCATGCGCGAGGAAGAGGAAAGGCGCCAAGCCGCTGCTGCGCAAGAAGTCGAAGACCTTGCGGAAGCACGCCGACGACTGAAGGAGAAAAAAGAGAAGAAGAAACAGGACGAGGCGAGAGAGAAATTTCTGCGCAAGTCACGAAAGGCGGCGGAGGCTTCAGCCGGCAAGCCTGCACCCGGACCAATTAATGGTGTCATGGATGTACCAGGCGACTTCTCTGTTGACTTCGGTGCTGACCAAAAGTTTTACTGGGAGCTTGTTTGCGATAAACTCCGCGCGGTTCAGGCAGTCAGGGATTTACGGCAGAAAGAAGGGACCCCTCAAGAGTACCAACAAGCGGAGCAAGGTTTACTTGACGCAAAAACGAGAATACATCAGGCAGAAGTTCGATTTGCGGAGCATGCATCTGTTTCGTAAAGGTCTTTTTAGAGAGAGGATTCGGAACAAGGTTGGTAGCTATGTCTATACGGAGTGGCTCATCTCACGCTAATATATCCCTTAGAATCACGATTCAGTGTCGAGCCGCAATATTTTGACAGCGTTCATCCCCATAACGTTCTTGAAGTCCCCCGTGTCTTGTCCCACTGCAAGAGCAACGGCCTCTGCATTCAGGCTCACGCTCTCCCATTCACCTTGTTCATCAGTCGAAAGTGGTGGAAAGAAGGGGTGATCTGTGCCAAACATAAGCCTGTCAGCACCGCTAGCTTGAACAGCTGCCTTGAGCCCAACTTCTGAGTAAATAACAGCGTCAAGATAAACCTGCTCCCTCAAGACCTCCCACACTGTTCGGCGGCCCTTGTTGAGCTTGCCTTCACGAAGCAGCTGCCCGTCATGCATGATGCAGCTTTCGATCCTCCCAGCAAGGAAAGGCAGGGTTCCGCCACTGTGGGCGAGGATCATGCGCAGTTCTGGGACTTTGTCGAAAACGCCAGCCAAGTACATCCTGGCTACAGCGATTGTTGTCTCCATAGGGAAGCCGAGGGCCAAAGGAAGCACATGCCCGTATTCGGCGCTCGCTCGAGGTCCCCAGACGTCATTCGGGAGACCGTAGTGAGGATGTAGGAAGACAGTCAGTCCTGTTGTTGCGAGAGCCTCGAATATGGGGAGAAGATCAGGGTCGTCTAGGCCTTTCCCGAGTCCTGAAGTGCCCAGAATGACCCCGCGACAGTATCTGAGGACCCGAAGATGTTCTATAGAGGCGAGGACAGTCTCGAGAGCTGCTGTCAAAGGAAGTGTTCCGAAGAAAAAGAGTCTTCCAGGGTGATCGCTGCACATGCGCGAGAATTCTTCATTGACGGACTGCGCGATTGGGCCTGACTCTGATGGGCTTAGAAAGTCTAGCCATGGATTCGCCAGGGATATGACAGATATATCAATCCTGTGCGTATCCATGAAGTGCAACTTTTGCGCAAGCGATGCGTAATGCGAGGTTAGAGGCCGCCCAGGTGGTTTTGCATCGGGGTTGTGTGTCGCATCTTCCAATGCTTTGACCTCAGCCTCCAGAAGGATGAGTCTCGGATCAGGTGCTTGAGAAAACTTGCGGACGAGGGGGATTTGGGAACGCGATTCCAGGATTTGGATATACGAGGGAGGGTACATGTGTGTGTGTATGTCTACCACGCGGGAGGTAGAGGACGACATGGTGTTTCGAATTCTGAGAAGAGAGGCAATGGTGGAAGTGTGAGGTTGGAAATTGGACAAAGCTTCGAGTGAGTAAAGAAGCAAGCTAGAATGTCTGGATGAGGCACAGCCAGCACACACACTCGCTATCAACTCTTGCGGGCCAAGCTGTAGCAACGTTGCAGATCAACAAATCGGGTTACCCAAGTTGAGAGACACGCATAAGATGCTACTTGAGAGCGATTGAGATCGATACTAACCCCGCATGGCTGTTATCACTACAACCTTGCGATGTCCTATCACCTGCTTATCAGTAACCGTTGAGGGGTTAGGCGTTGGCCGCCGGCAAGCCTCTTTCGTTTCTAATTGCCAAGTGGAGGGATGTGCCGTCCAGGCTTATCGGCCTATATTGAGTAGAGGTGCTGTGCCTATGTATATGTAGCTAGTAGATGCCAGCAAACTTAAAGACATCCCTCACGACTCATTTTCTATGCAACCTGTTTTGAAATACCTACTGCAGTTCCTTTTCATTCAATTGTCTTGTCGACTATATTGCCTCTACGAGTACCATTGCCATGGCTTCGAGTTTAGCTGTGAGCAAGGAGGGCCTCTCAATTCCCGTCAGTAATCCAATGCCCAACAGGCTGTAACTCTTACCAACTAAGCTTCCCCTGTTCAAGCTCATTGACTTCTCACGCTTCCTTAGCGGAACTCCTGTGGAGCGTAGTGAAACGGCCAATGCCATTCTTGACGGGTTCAAAACAGCTGGATTCATCTATCTCAAAAACCATCCCATCCTTCCAGAAGACTTACAGCATGCATTTGATCTATCAGCCCGCTTCTTCAATGAACCTTTGGAGAAGAAGATGGAGGTAGCCTGGACAACTCCAGAGGCAAACCGAGGCTATTCAGCCCCTGGACGCGAGAAAGTCAGTCAACTCAAGGATATTCAGGAGGTTGAGAAAGTGCGTGCTGCTTTGCCGGACTTGAAAGAGAGTCTTGAGATTGGCCGTGAAGATGAGCCCGGACATCCGAATAGATGGGTTGAAGAAACCGGCGACCTTGTTGGGTTTCGAAAGGATATGCTTGGATTCTTTGAGAAGTGCCGCCAACTGCATGTGGAGGTCATGAAAGCTATTGCTGTTGGAATGGGGCTCGATGATAGATTCTTCGATTCTTTTGTCGATGTCGGAGACAATACGCTGCGGCTATTGCATTATCCAGCCGTTGAGTCCAATATCTTCAAAACGAAGCCAGGCACAGTTCGAGCTGGTGCACATAGCGTAAGTTCTTCTGATCCTACGAGTTTCGCCCTGACCCCAGAATAGGACTATGGATCCATCACCCTTCTCTTCCAAGATGCTCGAGGGGGGCTCCAAGTCAAGAGCCCAACAGGACAATTTGTCGATGCGACACCAATCGAAGGCACGGTCGTCGTCAATGCCGGCGACTTGCTTGCGAGATGGAGTAACGACACCATCAAGAGCACTATCCATAGAGTTGTTGAGCCACCGCAGAAGCAAGCTGAATCTTACCCACCTCGATACAGCATTGCGTGAGTATAGTAGTGTTTTACTGTGGTGTTGTCAGACTAACTTGGTGGCAGATACTTTTGTAACCCCAACTTCAAAAGCTATATTGAGGCGATTCCGGGGACGTTCATTACGGAGAAAGATAAGAAGTATGAAGGCATCAATAGTGGTGATTACTTGATCCAGAGACTGACTGCGACGTATTGAGAGTCGGCTTCGTTGAGAACCTAACATCATGGTCAGCGCACACAGACCTCGCTCTTTGAGTAACTCTGCATTCAAGTGGCGTAGCAGTGATACGAGACATAGCCAAATCATGATTTAAAAAAATTTAATTCCCTTGGCCCCAAGGTGAAGTATTGTGATAATGTTGTCTCATGGAGCAACCTAGAGTGTATGTAGATTTTGGTTAGCATCCATCCATCCAATGGATGTGAATCTGGATCGAAGTGGGTTAGGCAACTCGCTAAGTTACTCCGTGAGTGATCCCCACCAGAAACACTCAACACCGAGGCACTAAACCCAATGAAGAAATTCGAGGTTCCTTTATTACATGGCATCCTCAACATCTGTTTTCCATCGTCAACGCTCACACTGACACTCGGCTCCAACTTTGCCTTTGACTCGCAATCACGCATTTGATGAACTAATAACCTACTGCTCGAATTTTGAAGTTCCCGGCTTCCAAGTCTTAGCAGCAATGGATTCCACTACTGCGACCGCAAAACGACCCCTGAAACAGGAGGCTTCGACAGCAAACAAGGCCTATCTGATCTTCTACAACTTCATCTCAGCTGTGCAATGGTCTGTTGTGCTCGGCCGCACCGCCATGCTTGCCAGTGCCTACGGGCCTGAGCACGTATATCCTAATATTGGCCAATATACAAAATGGACACAGACTTTGGCTGGGTTGGAGATCCTGCATTCGATGCTTGGTATGATTCCCCTGCTCCTTGACATTGCACTGTGGTATATATTAACATAGAATGTCCCCTGCAGGCGTCGTTCGCGCTTCCTTTGTCACCACTCTTATGCAGGTCGCCTCGCGTTTCCTGCTCGTCTGGGCCATCGTCGACGTCTTTCCCTTCCTCGCCCTCTCGCCCTTTTATTCGTCCATGCTCATCGCTTGGTCCGTCACCGAGATTATCCGCTATTCCTTCTTCGCTCTCTCGCTGTCCGGCTACCAGCCCAAGTTTCTTACTTGGTTGCGTTACAACACTTTCTTTGTGCTCTACCCCATTGGTATCTTCAGTGAATGCACCCTCATCTGGTTCGCCACTGAGCCTGCGGGCAACATCAACGAGCTCTACAAGTGGGCACTTTACGCCATCTTGGTTATCTATGTTCCTGGTAAGCTAAAAGAGACCGAGTGTGCGACTGCAATCCTAACTCTGCATAGGATCTTACGTCTTGTACACACATTTGATGAGCCAGAGGCGCAAGGTCATGCGAAATCTGAAAGCCCATGGTCAGAAGGCTCAATAAAAGGAATCTAGACGGTAAAGAAAAGAGGAGAGACGCGTTCCATTGAATGGCATACAGCTGAAAGACTTTGGGGGACCAAGAACTATCTCGATATGATCCATATATAGTCTAGGGGCAGATATATCTAAAGCAACAGAAATCCAGCAGGTTAAACATTTTTTTCGACCTGTGGAGTCTCGGGCGAGAGGCCGTCCTCAGTCAATGGGGCGTCTTCCAACAGGAGTGGTTCTTCAGCACTCGTCTCATACCAGCTGTTCTGTAACCAACCACGAATCATCTCAGTGGCATCCTGTGCCAGTTTGTTGTACCCAGGATTTTCTCTCGGCGTAAACATATCTAGAAACAGTCTCAGTATCGCGGTTGTCTCTGGGGCGGCTTGACTTACTCATATGTGCTCCAGCCTCGTCCGTCGCCTTGTTGTTGATGGCTTCTATCCACACCCCTCCGGGCTGCTTTTTGGGAAGATTGCAGAATGTCCTGTCCTGCCCCAATACGGTACCAACGACGTTGATCTGCTTCGACGGCGCTGCTTTACCAAGACGAGTGTATATGTTGGCGAAGCCCACGTCTAACTCTTCTCGCAATTGAAGCAGACACGCCACTCGTTTGCGCAATTCTTCTCCTCTAGCAAGGCATCCAACGAATTCGAGATGCGATGACGCCCAAGACCAACTTTCGCCCAGTTGGTCGCGTTTCATCCATGCTGCAGCACCCCCAGCTGCTACCGCTCCAGCTGCACCAGCGTACATGGCCATTTTGCCCCATTTTTGCCATGAATTGCCACCAGATGCGGAGGGAGCTGGCAACGCTCCAGCTATCTTCGGGGGAGCGGGCGATGTTGAAGGAGAGCCTGCTGTTTTGGCGCCCCAGAGTGATGCTCCGAGGCCGCTCAGCTGCGATATTGCACCTACAGCTTGTGCAGCGTTTTGGTACTGATCCTCTGCGCCGTGAGCTACCACACCAGGAGATATGCCAAGATAGGGAGTATCAAAGGCGAGAACACCTTGGATGTAGGGAAACATGAGGGAATTGAAAGTTGGTTTCTCGGGCTTTTGAATCCCGTCTTCTGTGTAGATAGGCTTCTCAGAAGCTAAGCCGATGAGCATCTCGGCCGCCACGATACCACCCATTGAATGGCCGACGAGTATGGCTCGTACCGAAGGCTCTATCGTTGGCGACGGCGTGCCAGCTGCAACCTCCATATCTATGACCTTGTTCTGAAGCCTATAGCAATCGCTTTTAGCTAACACTCTGCGAACAGCAGCAGTCCAGCAAGGAACACTCACCAGTCGCGGAAGCGACTCACACAACTGCCCAAATCCCCACGAGTCTCATATTTGGGATAAACAACCACTTCAACATCAACCTTTGGCAAAGCCTGCCCTACCAAATCGCGTAGGTCCTTGGTGAATTGATAATCAACACCGAACGTGTCCTCGCCGCCCTTGAGAAAATTAGTATTATGGCTGACACTAACTATGACGACAGACGAGGCAGCGAGAGGTGGAGGCAAAGTATGGGGTGTGCATACCTTGAAACCATGAATAAAACAAAGTAGCAGAGTCTTCTTCATTATGAAGTTTTGTCCATCAAGATCGACCTAACGGAAAACATACGTTGAAGAAGGTCCAGCTAAGACTGTCTGCGTGTCGGGGGTTGTGGTGAATGAAGACAAGTCTAGGCTTGTTGCAGTGAGAGAGAGAGAGAGAGCAGAGCTGAATTGGGTTGAGAAAGCATTAAATTCAAGACACCTGACCTGTACTATCAAACTCAGAATGCTATCGCATCAAATGATCAATCACCACCGCTGTCATCGTTATAGATAGAAAGGTGAATAAAAGTTACTGCATGTAAGTCTTCTAATTAAAATACATCCTACTATTTATCTAAACACGCAGTGCAAGTTCGCCATCCCCTTGCAGGTTTGACTCACTCCAGAGTTGTCCATTGGGAGGTCCATGAAACGACTTCCGTCAATGCGTCGTCTGTGTATGGTATTTTGGTCCTCGATTCCCTTCGCTTTCTCTTACCCTGATCGCATGTTGTTTATTGACACCTGTCCTGCCGAACGCCATTGCATATATCATCAAACAATCGCCACTTTGGTCGATACAACTTTACGGGCTACTGTGCGGCCCGATCTTTACCGATCAAGAGTCCCCCCTTGGCAGCCGCATTTGTCATTCCTCGTCGCTTTGAGCAGCAGTGCTACCACCGTTTGCTTCTTTCGAGCCACTAGAAATCAATTTGATCCGGGTGCCACTGGGCTGCGGTGTGCCGCCACCTCCAGAGGGCGCCACTGAACTGTCCTTTACCCCTTCTTCAAGTTCTTGAAGTTCGGGATGCGCAACCAGTTCTTCTTGGTACTTGGAGTTAAAGAATTCCTATAACACGTTAGTGACAAATCAGACGGACAACCACAGACAGAGTATGCTTACGTTCATGACCTTAGCATCTTGATACAGAATGCTTCCATCCTCGTTGTAAGTCTGACAGTTACGAATCATTAATTCGATGTCCTTTCGCAGTCCACTTAAGGATGTGTATTCCTCCTTTTTGATCCGAGTCTGTATCTGGTTCATGCAGATAGGGTTCTGAATGATAACATAGTAATCGGCGTAATCGCGCTTGGGCGGCAGTTTGACGAAGGGTCCGATGATGAGACGCTTGCCAGGATCCGACTCGTCATCCTCGGGGGGTTCAATATCGTCCACCTCCAAGGTCATTAGAGCATCGTACAAGTTACGGAGACTCTTCTGTAAGACTTCCCGCTGATGTGGTGGAAGACGTGACTCCAGACTGACTTTGCTGGGGCGTCCTTGTGGCCCACGTCGCTTTTTGGGAGGAGGCTCATCATTACCATCTTCAGCCTTGCGCTTCTCGTTCTTGCTGCCTGGTTTACGACCTCGTTTCTTGGGGGTTTCAATCTCCTCAGTGCTTGCTCTACTACCTGATGGCGATTCATCCACCGAGTTGGAGATTCCAGATTTCTTTAACCTGTTGTTCTCTCGCCTATCCTTTCGGGCTTGCTTGCGAGCCGCAGCTGCCTCTGGAGAGTCATCATCGTCATCCACAGCCATAAGCCATTGCTCTTCAGTGAGACCATCGTCGTATTTGACTTTGGTGCGTTCACGCGCACCACGACCCAGCACAACATCCTCCGTCTCATCCGAGATAGGATTACCCTCATTCAAATAGATATCTGGCAATTCATCCTCACCCATAAGTCGAGGTTTGCTGCCTGGTCCATTGCCATAGGGCGAATTTCTCTGTCTCTCCTCGTCAATCTTCTGGAACACAGTTATCTCATCATCACTGCGCGCAAGGAGCATGTTGAGTTCTTCATCCTCCATTTCATCTTGCTCACCGGATTCCGCCATATCAGCAGTCTCCAATAATGTTCGAAGCATAGCGTCACGGTCGGTCTCAGATGACTTGTTGTCGAAACGACCGGCCTGAATAACCTTGCCATCCATATCCAGTTTGAATCTTGCTCGCTCGAGAATCTTCTCTTCTACCGAGTTGGAGCTGATAAGTCGGAGGATTCGGACTTCATTCTTCTGGCCAATACGGTGAGCACGATCCTGAGCCTGAAGATCCTGATGAGGATTCCAATCGGAATCGTAGATAATGACGGTATCAGCGGTCTGCAAGTTGAGACCAAGACCACCTGCGCGTGTGGATAGCAAGAACATAAAGTATTTAGAGTCAGGGGCATTGAACTCTCGAAGCAAGTCGGAGCGCTCGTCGGATTTGGTCGTACCATCCAATCGGAGATACTCAAATCGCTTGTAACGCAGATAATCTTCCATGATATCCATGATCGCAGTCATCTGGAAGAACATCAAGACTCGATGGCCAGTTGCTTGATATTTAGGGAGAATTCTGTCAAGCAGCTCGAATTTTCCTGCTGTCCTCCACAAGAGATCATTGCTGACATTCATAGGATTCATGACATTTTCCACAACATCGAAGACGAACGGGTGGTTGCAAAGCTTCCGGAGCTGCATAATCATGTTGCTCAATCCGCGAGCACCAGTCTTTCCGCCCTTGCCATCACTAACGACAAGTCGGTTGTGGGTGACCATCTGTTTGTACAACTTGGACTGAAGGGCAGAGAACTTGCACTTGATGACCTTCTCTGTCTTGTCGGGAAGGTCCTTTTCGACATCCTTTTTCAAACGACGGAGGAGGAAGGGTCGCAAGACCTTGTGAAGGCGCCTAATGACGAGAATTTGCTCTTCTTCAGTGAGTTCCATTTTGTCCTGGCCGCCAGTGTTCGCGAAGGGGGTATTGAACCACTCATCAAAAGTCGTTGCAGATTTGAAAATGTTCGGCAGAACAAAATTGAGCATGGCCCAGAGTTCAGAGAGGTTGTTTTGTAAAGGAGTGCCGGTGAGAATGAGTCGAAAACGGGTATGATAGTATTGCTGAATGGTAAAGCTCAATTTGGAGTTTGAGTTCTTCATTCGATGACCCTCATCAATAATCATGTGGAACCACTTAATTTTGCTTAGAATAGGGCGATCCTTGATGATGTACTCATAGGTCGTGAGTAATACTTGGAACCCTCCTTGCCGAATCTTGTCTTGCTGCTGTTTGCGAGCATTGGGAGGTCCCTTGTAGACAATGCGGCTCACAGAAGGAGCCCATCTTTCGAATTCCAAGTTCCAGTTTGTCAGCGTACTCAAAGGCACGATGACAAGGTATGGTCCAGCCTGTTGTTTCCTCTCAATCAGGTAAGTGATTAGACTGATAGTTTGAATGGTCTTTCCGAGACCCATCTCATCAGCCAAGATACCGTTCAGATTGTTGTTGTAGAGTGAGATCATCCATTGGAGACCCTTGACTTGATACTCCTTGAGCTTACCGCCCACGAGCATGTGGGCTTGCTCAGTAACCTCCTCACGAATGCGATGTGCCACAGCATAGTAATCGATCTTCTTGCTGCTTTCGTCATCCTCGTCGTAATCACTGGCATCATCCATCTGCGGATCATC